ATGAAACACAACCAGAGATGGGTTCTCTAATGTTCATTCGGATTTCACTTTTAAGCAAAGCACTTGGCCTTTGAAAACAGGACGCTGGGCCTCTGTCCGTGTGTGGAGCAGCTGCTAAGTGCACGCAGGCAGAATTCTCAGCGCTGCGTAGGCTAGCTAAGCCTTGTTGCCAAGGTGACACACGTGGGAAACGAGAGTCTCAGCTGAGGAATTTCCTCCATTAGACTGGCCTGTGGGCATATCTGCTGGGGGCACTTGAGTGTAGGATGGCCCAGCCACCTGTGGGTGTTGCCAGCGTGTCTGGGCCACAGAAGTAGCCGAATGGTGAGCCCCAAAGCTCCTTGGTCTCTGCTTCTGTTTTGACCTACCACGTTTCAGCCTTGAGGTCCTGCCTGGGCTTCCCTCAGTGATGGCCGTGGCTCAAGTGTGGAAGCCAAAGTCAAGCTGAGAGGACCCAGGAAACGAACTAACACAGTGTAGGCCCAGCAGAGGGTATCCATGGGAGCATTCAGCCCTCATTGACCCTCCAGGAGCTGTAAAGCAAGATGGATGCGGAATCCCCTGGTCCCCTAGATCCAGAGGCAAGCTGATGACAAGTAAGAAACACCCTGCCTCTCCTGTGCCGCTGCTTTTTTTGGCAGAAGAGCAGCCCATGGTGATGGCTTCCACTTTATTTTTGACTTGGTGTTGATTTGGGATGCTACCCTCCCAGTGGGATTCTTGTTTAGAGTCTTAGATCAAGGATTAAAGTCCCTTGTGCCTACAATAGAGTAATAAGAGCCCTTCCACCTCCCAGGGAGCCTCGCTTTGATGTGCTGACCACATCCCACACCAGCTTCATCCCAAGCTTACTTCCTCTATGAAAACTATAGTTCACAGTAAAATAACCCCTAAGGAGTTACTAAGGACATCATTACCCAAAGTGAGCCCAATACTGGGCTTAAAAGAATCATTTCAGCCTGTTGCTGAAAGTCTAGTGACCTTCACAGATGTGGAAATCAGAAATCAGTACCCAGGAGGCAGGAGTTTTGTTCTGAGGAGCATGCTGGCTCCACTGGAAGCTAAAAGGCCTGCATCCTGAGAACCCCAAGTCAGCCACATCTAGCTAATGGCTGGCACGATCGGCATGAAGCCCACCATTGTGTTCCTTTCCAGAGAGTTACATGGACATTTCTTCCCAGAACTCCCCACTGCTGTCAGCCTAGCCCCTTCACACGAAATTCAAAAGAACCCAAGGATAGGCTGACCAGAAACAGGAATCTAATAAGTGTCAAGAAGCTGCAGGGGAGACGGCCAGTGGATGAGGTGCTTGCCACACAAGCCTGAGGCCCTGAGTCTGGGTCCTCAGTACCCAGGTAAAGAGCAAGGTGTAGAGTGTGCCTGTCATCCCAGCACGAGGGAGGAAGAATGCAGGATCCACGGAGCTCGCTAGCCAGCCAGTCTTGCTAAATCGGTGAGCTCCAAGTTCAGTGGCAGAGCCTGTCTCATAAAAGTAAAGATGGAGAGTGAGAGAGGGCATCCATGTGTGTACATGTGTTTGCACGTGTGTGCGCGCACACACATACATACCTTTGTTACTCTAATCTCTTGTTCTGCTCACATAGGCATAGAAAGGGCTCCAATTGTTGTCTGTTTTAGACAGTGAGTATATATTGGAATTAAGCTTCATAATTTGACCTAAACAGCTAAGAATCCAGTCTTGTTCCCGTTTAAAGAATGGCATGTTAGGCTGGAGGTTATAAGATGATGCAGAAACAGACTGGACAAGAGTGGTGCACACCTTTAATCCCCACACTCGGGAGGATCCACGCGGGTGGATCTGTCAGCCTGATCTACAGAGCAAGTTCCTACACAGGGAAACCCTGTCTCAAACCCCACCCCACAAAACAGACGATGCAGACGATGCAGAAAAAGTCTGAGATGGACCTCTGCCCTCCGGGAGCCTAAGTAACACAGAGGAAGCCACTGATGATGATGATGCACACACGGGGAGATCTGATTACACAGCAATTGAGAGGGAATGATATAGGCATACATCAAAGGCAGGCATGCCCCCTTCCAAGAAGAGTTTGCCCACCTGAAAGCAGTAAAAAGGGCTTTCTTGATCATGCTGTATAATTTTCTCAATGGTACTCAGGCCATGGGCAGGTCAGGACTCACCCTTGCTTCCCAAACCTTAGAAGTAAGAGATTTTCGGCTCATAAATGCAGTTTTACTATTTGCACTGTCCACAGGGGTATTTTGTTGTTGTTGTTGTTGCTTTGTCATTTTTGTGGCCTTTTTCCCCTACCAGACTCACTTAAAAGTTTCCTCTCAATCACCTCGCATTTCTTGCTTTGTGACATTGACCATTTTCTAACGTGATCTTACCACACCTTTATTTTGAGAGTTCTCTTATTCTCTTATTAAAGGAAAGAGTCTAGCATAAATAACAAACAAGCAAACTTGGGGCTAGGCGAGATGGCTCAGGAGGTAAAGGCACTTGCTACCAAGCCTAAGGACATGGGTTTAATCCCTGGAGCCAAGCAGTGGAAGAGAACCAATTCCTGAAAGTTGTCCTCTGAACTCCATCTGTGCGCCGTGACATTCACATGACCACACTCATACACATTCATGCAGGCAAACAAATAAACAAGTGTAAAAAGAAATTTAAAAATAATAGTTACATAAATTTGAGGCTGAGGATGTGGATCAGTTCGGAGAGTGTTAGGCTAGCATGTGCAAAGCCCCCGGTTCAAGCTTCGGCACCATATAAACTAGATAGGGAGATATCCTTCTGTAATCACAGCACCTGGAGGTAGAAACAGGAAGATCCTGAGTTCGAGAGCATCCTCAATTGTATAGTGTTGTGTGATATTTGTACACTGTGTGAAGATGTGTTGCTGTGATTGGTGTAATAAAAAGCTGGATGGTCAATAACTAGGCAGGTGAGTATATGCGGGAATTCCGGGCAGAGAGAAAGGTCTCTAGGAAAAGGAAATGCAGAGTCACCAGCCAGCACAGGGGAAGCAGGATGGGCAGTACCAAGAGATGAGTTATTGATCCACACCAAGGAACATAGACTTAAAAATATCGATATCGGTTAATTTGTTATAAGAAATAGTTAGGAACAAACTTAAGCTAAGGCCAAGCTTTCATAATTATTAATAAGTCTCCATATTGGTATTTGTGAACTGGTGGCCCAAAGAAAAAAAATCTGTCTACAGTATAGGGAGTTCAAGACCAGCCTAGGACACATAAGACCCTGAAATCTTTAGGGACTGTGAGGTCAGGATTCTGATACGTAGGAAGTTATGGAAGGAACCAGGGAAAGGTGAATGGTTGAGAATGTCCATTCGCATTCATATGTCTGGGGACGCTGCCAATGCTCCACCACCCTACCCACCGCTGAGTCTCATAGGAGAGAATTCAGTCACTTGCTATGCTTGAATTTCCTCAGCCAAGCCCAGCACCTCCCTGACAGGTTAGCAGATTTGGGCGTCTCCAGATCATCCACTTTCCACCCTTCCCCAAGAGAGGAGAAGTAGGTCAGTGTGCAAGAGAGAACTGCACTTCGTTCCTGTGTTAGTGTGAGCCACTGGGCTGGGGCAAGAGTTTGCCCTTCGCTTTTTTAGTTTTGATTCCTACCCAAGGGGGGGGGGATTACTGATGTGCACGGATAATTGATGTTAGATGGAAAAGACCTCAACCTGAAGAATTAGTTCCAATTTAAATAACAGCAATAGATGTGTATTGCATATGTAAGGAGATATGCAAATTTTAGGCAGCAATTTGCTAGTGCAAATATAAAGTTGTTTGCCACAGATACAGGGTTGCCAGGTAAATAAACCAAATGTGCACTCAAAGCAAAACCCACCATTTAATTATAGTCCCCTGATTTTCTTTCTTTTTCTCTTGTTCTTTTTATTTTCATTACAAGGCATTATAAATCAACAGAGAAAATCTATACAGGAAGAAAAGTCTGTCTATAATCTCAACCCGTGTGTCTGTGTCTGTGTGTGTGTGTGTGTGGGTAAGGGGGGGTTGCATCTCACCCTGAAACTCTATGTAGACCACAGGGACCTACCTGCCTTGCCTCCCAGATGCTGGACTTGAAGGTCTGCCTGTGCCTCTGCCTAGCATAAGCCACCCTTCGGACTTGGCTCTGTAGCCACAGACGAGTGTGAACTCTTCACCCTCCTGCTTCTACCTCCTTGTGCTTGCTTTTTGTGTTTTGCTCTCAACTAGGATTTATCTTTGTAATGTAAACATTATTTAACTTGTGAAAGGTGAAAAAAATGAAAAAAGAAAAGAAAAAGGGAAAAAGTGAGGCTGGGAAGTGGCTCCACTATTAGAGCCTTTGCCACACAGTTGTGAGGACCCAACTTCAGATTCCCAAACCCAAACCTTGAAAAAGGAATAAGGAGCATGTCCAAAGCAAGGACGCTAACAACACACGCCATATGGGGGACCTCTGTACTGAATCTGTGTGCACACACAGAAACTAACAACACAGGCCTCTGTACTGAATCTGTGTGCACACACAGAAACTAACAACACAGGCCTCTGTACTGAATCTGTGTGCACACATGGAAACTAACAACACAGGCCTCTGTACTGAATCTGTGTGCACACACGGAAACTAACAACACAGGCCTCTGTACTGAATCTGTGTGCACACACGGAAACTAACAACACAGGCCTCTGTACTGAATCGGTGTGCACACATGCTGCAGGTACTCACACATGCAAGCGCACGCACGCACAAAGGAAAGAGAACACTATTACTTTTTAGTGTGGGCACAGCCACAACATGGCATTAAGCAATTTTGTTGACTATATAATGATTCCTGCTCCAATCTTGACTGAGTGTGCAAGAGATTTTTACTTCCAAGCTTTGGGTCTTACAAAAAAAACAAAGCACTTTATACAAACTTGTTGGGCTAGAGGCCTCGGAGAAGTGTAGTTCTGCAGACTGGAAATGTGGACAGAGCTCTTGCCTGGCTTGCCCAAGGCCCTGAATTTGGAGTCTAGCACTGGGGGAAAAAAAAGATAGAAAGAAAAAGAGAAAGAAAAGAAGGGTTCATATCCACTATACATGAACTTTCAATGCAGAATGAGAAAAAAACAATTTTATAAAAATGACCAAATTCTTTAAAAAGATCTATAGCCACCCACATACGTTCTTTCCATTTCTCTCCTTGTCTCCTCTGCTCCATGCCCAACACAACTTGATTTGTCCACTGAATCCACCCATTCTATCCTGTATCTCTTGTCTAAACCCAGAGCTGATAGACAACCATACTGGGCTCAGACAAGGGCCTTTGGAGGGGGGCAGGGAGGACCCTTATATTACTAGAGAATAAATAGAGACAGAGGGAGGAAGGAGCCACAAGGAAATGCAAACCATACTCCCCAAAAGACAGCACAGACTAAGCGAAAAACAAGATCTTGATGTAAGACCAGAATTTGAGTCGCCTCTGCCGCTCACTGTGGGGCCTTCAGTAAGCGACTTCCCTAGTTATTTCCCCACCTGCAAAATGGGTGAGAATAATAATAATAATATAATAATACCTGTAGGATAAAATTCTGGACACGGCTGAATAAATGCCAAACACAGCCAGCTCAATGACAGACAGCTTTCCAGGCTGTAACAGAAACATCATCACGTTTGCATCGCGGCAATCATTAAAATCATCCTCCCGGGGCCTCAGAGAAAAAGCTGTTCCTCACCTTGTCCCTACTCACCTGCACAGCTGCCAGTGATGCTCATTGCTTCGAGGCCACCTGTCAGGTTGTGTCAGGGCAGAGGCCCGTCAGCCCTGTAGCCAGTTTTGATCTTTCCCCTAAACTCACAAGGAAAAAGGGCTTCTCTGCCCCGCTGAAGGCCAGTGTTAGTGAACAGCACAGACAGCCCCACTACAGGAGAGGAGGGACCCCCACAAGTGACTGGACTGTCAGCAGCTCTCCAAAGAGCTACCTCCCGCTGCAGCATCCAAAAGACAGTTCCTAGCTCCAGTGTCTCTCCCAGGGCATAATGGGGGTTTGCCTTCAGAGTTAGGTTTCCTTGAAACTTTGTAATGACACTGGAAAAACCCAGCTCTCCTGCTTACCCAGATACTAGGAGTTTACCTGAGGCACTAGAACGCTGACTGAAGATAATGCTACCCTGTGCTCCTTTGCTGAACCCCTCGGTTGCCTGAGCTTCCTGATGGTTCCGTGTCTGGCTGCAGCTTCCATCTTTATGTCTTTAGCCTGTAAACAGTGCTGTTAGCAGGAGGAAACAGGCTGTTCTCAGTCTGAGCAGGTTGTATTCAGGCAGGACCTTGAGCTTCGTAGCTAGCTATGGCTTTCTTTGCCTGTAAAATATTTCTCCTATGCCCCACCTAGCAACCCCCTCTGGCTAGCACAAGGCTTAAAGCCAAGTGTCTGCATTGTCCTTTTTGGTCTGTCTGGCCAGGCTATTCGACACCAGGGGACATCTTTCCTTTCACACTCTATTGTTCTAGGTCTTCAATTACATTCTTGACTAAGAGCCCGAGCATGGAGAGTGGGAGCTTTAGAAACCTTAACACAATAACTGCCTAAGTGCGCAGCCTCTCGCCTGTTCTGACGATGCTGCACACCCTTGGCTGCCTGCGTGGAGGTCGCTGACTGTGCTGCTTCATTTGTTTCTGTCCATTTGATAAACTAGAGTCACCTGGGAAGGGAGAGCCTCGGTTGAGGTAGGGCCTCCAGCAGCTTGCACTGAGGGCATGTCTGTGGGGAATTTGCTGGATTTCTGGTGGCTGTGGGAGGGCCCAGTGCACTGTGCACAATACCACCCCTGGGCAAGTGGTCATGGGTTGTACAAGAAAGCAAACTGAGCCGACGGTGGGAAGTGAGCCAGGAAGCAGCCTTCCTCCATGGTTCCTGCTTCCGTTCTTTGAGCACCTGCCCTGGATTCTCTTGATGGTGGCCAATAAACGAAAGCCAAATAAATGATTTCCTCCGCAAGCTGCTTTGGGTCAGTGTTCTGTCGCAGTAACAGAAAGCAAACCAGGGTGTTGCCTTTTCCAGAGAGCCAGGGGAACAGACCTCAGGCTCAGCTGACATGAAAGGGAACAAGAGATCCATTCGCCACCCCATAGCCGAATTATTTTGTATGGCTTTGTAGCGAGTACAGTGGCAGAAAAGAATGTCTCAAGCAATGAGCAAAGAGAAGAAAACCAGATGGTGATAGGAGGGTGACTCAGGAAAGTGCCTGCCATTCAAGCATGAGGACCTGAGTTTGATCTCCAGAACCCACGTAAAAAAAATAAACAAACGAAGCTAGGCATGGCAATATGCACCTGTAATCCCGGTACTGGGGGACTTTTTGCTTCCTCCTCTGATTGTAGCCACGCTTTGGTCATCTGGTCATTCTGTCTGTGCTTCTGTGTTAGCAAATAAGATCAGAGCAAAGTAATAGAGAGAGCTTGCTAACCTAACTTTAAGCATATTTAGACACCAGTTACCTCAGAATGTTTAGAATTCAATGACCTTAGAATGCAGCCCGTTTAACCCAGTGCCTAGTACATCCTTCAGAAATGGCTTGTTTAGTGAACTGGAGAATCCCATTATTGCATGAAAAGGGTCAGCCACTATCTGGATCTTGCTTGTCCTCCAAAGGCACATGTTACAGATGTGGTCCTTGGAATGGCACCATTGGGAGATAGTAGACTGTTTAGGGGATGGAGCCTAGATGCCCTCATTGAGACCCAGGCTCCTTCTCGTTCCTTCTTTTGCTTCCTGATGCTAAGATTTTATTCTGCCATCTGCTTCCACCATGGCGTTACTACCTTATCCCAGACCTGCGAGGAACAAGAACAGCCAGTCGAGGACAGAAAATGTCTAAAAGTTTGAGCCCAAATGAACCTTTGCTCTTTATAACTTACGTGATTACCTTAATCTCTTTGTCATATAGCAAAAGGAAGCTGGCTACCACAGGACGGTTTCATTATAACAGTTTCCCCTCTCTGAGGGCAGGAGCTGGTATTTTGTTATCTGTGAACTCATGTGTCCCTGAAGTGTAATCAGAACCAGTGGAAGTCTGTTCAGTTTGTTACAAATGGATTGTCCCCTACCTAAAAAAGAAGTTAGTGATAGTTTATGACATACCAAATAATAGCTGGGCAGCGGTGGTGCACACCTTTATCCCAGCACTTAAGAAGCAGAGGCAGGTAGATCTCTGTGAGTTTGAGTCCAGCCTGGTCTTCAGAGTGAGTTCCAGGACAGCCAGAGCTATGCAGAGAAACTCTGTCTTGAGGAAAAAGAAAAAGAAAAGCAAGAGAGAGAAAGAGAAAGGAAGAAAGGAAGAAATATAGCTTTTCTTTAGTCTTTTTTTTTTCCCAAGACAGGGTCTCCCTGTTTAATAGTCCTGGCTGTTTTGGAACTCTCTTTGTAGACCAGGTTAGCCTTGAACTCACCAAGATCTGCCTCCCTCTACTTCCCAAGTGCTGAGATTAAAGGCATGCATCACCACAAACCGGCCTTACTTTCCTTTTTAAAAAGTTTTAAAATTATATTTATTTGATTCTCTCACCCCCTTCCTCCCTCCCGCCTCCCCCCCCCCCCCATGTGTGCATGTGCCCAATACGTATCTAGAGGTTAGAGGACAGTTTGCTGAAACTGGTCCTGGAGAAGGCTCTCGGGTACCTTTGTCCACTGAACTATCTCTCACTAGCTCCCCCTCAATCTCGAGGTGATTTTATTAATCATTTGTTCCTTTGGCTTTCATTTGCCTTACCCCTTTGTCTTATTAATTTGCCAGTGTTACCAGGGAAAGGCTATACTTATAAGAAACCGAATGTTACCTTTTTATACTCTTTCCTCAGGAAACCATCTAAACCAAAGCCTGACAGACTGTGGCCTACGGGATAATTCAGCCTGTCACCTATTTTTGTACAATCTAAAAGCAAAGAATGGCTTTGAAATGTTTAAAAGGCTGTGGGGGTGGAAAAGTGGGGGGGGGGGGGTTGGGGAGATCGACTCAGATGAGAATAATAGTTCATGGGGTGGAGAGATGGTCCCATGGGTAAGAGCGCCTGCCGGGCCTGCGTGGGTGAGGACCTGAGGTTTGGTTTGGTTTGGTTTTTTTTCAAAACAGAGTTTCTCTGTGTATCTCTGGCTGTCCTGGAACTTGCTCTGTAGACCAGGCTGGCCTGGAACTCACAGAGCCATGGGTGGATCCTGGGAGTTTGCTGAACAGTTAGCCTAGCCGAAATGTCAGCTTCCTGTTTGGGTGAGACCTTGTCTCTAGGCACGAAGAAGGAGCATAGAGAAAGAGAGCAATCGTCTTCCTCCAGCCTATATATGTGTGTGCACGTGTGGGGGGGGGACTGCATTCACAGTAAGAATAATCATTTATGCTAGGTGGTGGTGGTGTACACCTTTAATCCCAGCACTTGGGAGGCAGAAGCAGGTGGATCTTAATGAGTTTGAGGTCAGCCTGGTCTACAAAGCGAGTTCCAGGACAGCTAAGACTGTTACACAGATAAACCCTGTCTCAACGCCCCCCCATAATCATTTATGATATATAAAATTATGCTAGTTTCAGCGTTTAAAAGTAACGTGTTTGGGAGGAGGGAGGAAGCAGGAGGAGAGGAGGGAGAGGAAACATGGGATTGGTATGTAAAAATAAGAAGAAAGACAAAAAGTTTTTTTTAATTTTCATGGCAACGCCTTCATTTTTATTAAATGCTCGAGCTGCTCTAAAGCTTTGCAGACAGAGCTGTGAGCACCGACACCTCAGTACTCACAAAGCCAAAACTATTCACTACCTGGTGTTCCAAAGGTAAAGTTGGCTGTAGGCTAAAGAGACAATTCAGTGGTTAAGAATGAACGTTGCTTTCTCAGATGATCCGAGTTTGGTTCCCAGCACCTGATTACAGCCCACAACCACCTGTAACTCCAGCTCAGGGACTCTGAGTCCTCTGCCTGACCACACCAGCTTCTGTAGGCACCTGCATACATGTGGTCCACATGAAGTCATGCGGGCACACACACAGACACATAACTTTTTTGTCTTTGTTTTTGTTTTGTTTTTCAAGAGAAGGCTTCTGTGTAACTTTGGAGCCTATCCTGGAACTTGTTCTGTAGACCAGGCTGGCCTTGAACTCACAGAGATCCGCCAGCTTCTGCCTCCCGAGTCGCTGGGATTAAAGGCGTGGGTGATCACTGCCTGCCTACATTACTCTTTAAAAAATCTTTAATTCTTTTCAAGTTTGCTGACTCCCAAGGGAGGTTGTTTGTACATTTGGGTGTATCTGAAGGACACATCCCAGTCTTTGTTACAAAATAACTAAGACTCTCACTCAGAAGATAGACTCCCAGAAAGTTACATGTGAACAGAAGTCTCAGCAATAGAGTACTATTTTTGATATTTTTATACTTGTGGTTTAGATCATTCTTTAGGTTTAGAGAAGTGAGAAAATACTCTCTCTGAGTCCCAGGGACAGGCTTGTTGGAGATGAGGATTATGTCACTGCAGGTACCTCTTCATCCTGTCTGTTCTCTGCTCATAACTCTTGGGGCTCGATCCCATCGGCCCAGGCACACTCCGTCCTTAATCCCCGTGTCTCAGCTCAGTGGCGGCAGAATGTTTGAATTATGACCAGCGCAACAGACAGATTCCCCCAGGGGTCGTGGAGGAAGTGATTTACTCCAGGTAATCCCAGTACCAGGCTTGGAAATCATCTGTCTCCACTAAATGGTTTCCATACTGTAAGGGGGGAGGGCGACACCGAGTTGGGAGTAGGGGGAAGCAGAGATCCCGGAAGGGGAATTCTCTCATTCTCCCCCACCTCCGACGCAATAGATTGCTGTCATCTTAGTCTCCAGGTCTCTGTGAGAGCTCACGCCGCAAACACTTGCTGCCCGGCAACTTCACAGAGAGTGAACCCGGTTCTAGTTGCCACCACAAGGATGTTCAAGTTGGATGTTATCCCTCAGTGGGGGAAGCTGACGGAGTCCAGGAGTCCACGAGTGAGACTCCCTGTGGCTCTCCGGAATTCCGGATTTTCCCAGATTTACCAGAGGGATTTTGTTGGTCTCACTGAAGCGAGCCCTAAAGCTCTGACATCCTTTCTCACTTGGAGTGTCCCAGAGCAAGAAGGTCTGAGGCTTCCCAAGAGAGGAGAAGTATACAAGGCTTCCGGCTTCATTCTGAATGACTAAGTGTGTGTGTGTGTGTGTGTGTGTGTGTGTGTGTGTGTGTGT